CTGGCCAGAGTGAGAAGCTGAGATGAGTTTTAAATGCTGTAAGATGGAGAGCCATCTATTTTCATCCAAGTGTGGAAGGTCAACAATTACACAGTGAGTGGCGGGTCTGTCTCCCCTCTTCTCACACAGAAGGCGGTGTGCGTATACAGAGCTGAGTGGATGAAATTAAGCAATTTGTCCCCCAGCATTTAAAATTTAAATTGACATGGATAAATGGGGTGAGGGTCCTCCAAAAGGGTGTGCTATCTGTTTGCATTCATCCTGGATCTAATAAAGTTTGACGTGCTGCCGTGTGATTAATATTTGTTTTAATTTCATTGAAGCTCTTGGTTAACAAACAGCAATCAATAATTAATGTTTTGAGTGAATATTCATTATTGGTTTGTGAGAGCGTACTTTGTTAGCAGCTCAATGGCTCAGGTTCTCCCTGACAGGAGGGGTAAACACTTGCGTCATCTTTTTCCATTAAGACTGGGAGATGTTGGGAAACTTTACACCTGTGACAATATTGGGGAAAAGTTGTGACATTTGGTTGAGCAGGGAGTCAAACAGGGCAATCTAATACATGTATTTATTGCTGAGTTACACCGTTATAAAAAACAAATTTGTAAATTAATGTCTTTTTAAACTTAGGCATGCATCGCTACTGAAAGTAATTATAACTTTTTATTTTTAAAGGCTGCCTGAAGGCTTCATTATTCCCTTTACTATGGCAACAGTCCAGCTCAGACTTCCTAATGAAATGGATTTGATGCAAAGGGAACTTCAGAGGATGAGCTGACTTTACAATTTTCCTCTAAGTGAAGCTGCTTCAGAGTCCAAGGTTAAGTGAGGCAGAGGGAAATGAAGTGAGTATGGCACTATTGTTTGTCTCTTAAGATTCAGAGATGAGGGGGGCTGGATGACTTTAACTGCAGAGCTGTGAGAAGAGCAAGGGGAATACAGAATGGTGTTCTAGGAGGCCACTGATCATTTAACATTACTGTACAATGTGAAAAAGAGAGAACAAAACAAATTAACCAATCACAGTGGGTTTCAGCACCAAAGAGCACAGCAGCATAGATAACAGTTATTTCTTTAGATGCAGCTTGTGTGTTGAATTCTAAGTAGTTGAAGTGAAACTAGCCCTTAATCCTGAAGGTATGTCAAGAAAAAGGAGTTTTTGTGGGGCTCTGAATCTCAAAGTATTGGAAAAGAAAGCCGTGTTTGGGTTGGTTCAATCTTGGAACTGTATTCAATAGACAGGATTTTATTTTGGGGGTGTGAGGAGGCCTTAATCCTTAAAGATCTTTGAGAGAACGGTGAAAACCTTAACATTGCAACATTTCTCTGAACTCTTTCTTTGATAGGTTATGGAGAGAAATATAAGGTTGCAAAACGTCAAATTTTACCAATGGTTTCCAGATGAAAGTGTTTTTTCTTTTGTGTTTGTTTTTTTTTACTTTACCTTGAGCAAACATCTTTAAAATTCTTTATCTGTGATTCACTTGTGTCTGACGATGATAAGCAGAGGTACAGAAAGAGATCTTGAACCAGAAGAATAAGACAGAGTAAAGCTAGTCTGCCAGGGTGGATCCAGCATGTTCAGGCTCTGCATTGTGCAGTTAATTCAGAGTAACTAATCGTTTTAGATGGCTCATTAATTATTTCCTTGGTTGACACCTTAATGCCGAATTAAAACTAAAATGGGGGGGTCTGTAGCATCATAATGCAGCACGTTTGGTGTTTCATCTGTTAACTTTAAGCTTTCATCATACAACCAATTAAACCAAAAATTTACCTAAAAAGTAATGTTAACTGTAACAGTTCAGGTTGAAATTTGCACAAATTAACGTGTGAAACTAAGTAAAAAGAGAAATTACAACTTCACACGTGGGTTGAATGCGGGTTGTTGATGAAACAAACAAGGAACAGTACACCATCCTTTAGAAAAAAACTGTTGTTCACAAGTATTTGGGAAAAAAAATAAAGATGCTAAACAGTCTAAATCTTACTAGCTTTGCTGTCTAGTCAGTAGGTCTAGCTTTGGATTCCATTGACCTATGTCACTGATTCTTGGCACTTATTTAGCCAGTCTTCTGTGAATTTAAAAGTGTAAAACTGCTTTATGTTTTATTCTGGTGCTAAGGGTAGCAACTTGGTCAAGAACTTCATAAACTTTTCAGGCTGTATGCTGCCCGGCATGCCTAAATCCAATCATTGTGTTTCTCTGTCAGTAGATGTACATGGTTGAAAATCTAAATTCCATAATAAAGACTTTGTTTTGTCTTCTGAGGAAATTTTTATTGACCTCTACGAAGTCTGGATGAAATAAAACTACTGAGGAAGAGCTAAAAAGGAAGAGGTTTGGAGGGTCCTACAGTTCTACTAAAGTGTTCAGTTCTATTGAAAAGACTACACTATCGTGTTACTGCACACAGTGTTGCCATTTAGGGAATGTTGTAAGCACGAGCTATCACAGTCCTGATCCACAGTCCTCATTCAAGACTGATTTCTCACTATGTTCATGCTTTGCTCCAGAGGCTAAGATAAGCAGTTCTGCTGTGCGAACCGGTTTAAGTCCTCTTGTGCGCACCTCTCTTCTTTTCTGTGAGGACTGACCCTCGGGGTACTGTCTCCACCTCTTGTCTTCCTGTAGAGAAACGATTGGCTGGTTAGTCACAGCGCCAAGAGCTGGAAGCCCATTGAAGAGTGGATCATGTGGTGAGTCTAGCCCTAAGCCTTGGAGATCAGTGAAAAAAGGCAAGGTAGCCCCTATACTGGAGCCATGCAGTACATGCTGTCCTCAACTGACCTGTTGAAACAAGGTTCATCAGCCAGCACTGGATATTGAAGCCAGCACACTGGGCTAGTTGGTTCAGGATGAATCAGGATATGAGAATTAGCTGCATCTACAAACTCTCGCCTTCTCCAGTCTGCCCTCACTTTAAATGGCCATATGAAAAACATGTGTCTTTACAATATCCCCTCAGGGATGATAAGGATATCCTTGATCTTTGAATAAAAATTATTTGGACACCACAGCTTACAAATTTTACAACTCACCTCTTCTACGGAACACTTCCTGGGTTTTACATTAACAAATTGAAAAATGTGACCATCCATGAAACTTAAGTTAACTGTTTACAACTTCTGCTCTTTAAACTTAGACATAGTCTCAGTGATGTCGTGCGTTAGTTTCTCAAAGAGCCTGTATGGAACCCAAAGAAGGAAGTTGCCATGTTAGACATGCTGATTCCAATTTGGTTTCTGGCAGTAACATGCTTACCTGTAAGTCAAGTCACACCTAATTATGTGTAACTATCTGGCCTAAAATAGTCAAAATGGATGATCAAACCAATTATTTTTATTTCTGCTGTAAAAGTGGATCATTAAACATAGGCCTAAATGGAGATTTATGGGCTTATGGAGCCAGCCCCGAGAGGACACTGGAGGAACTGCAGTTTTTTGGACTCCCCCATTGACCTTGTTTTTCAACATGAGCAGTTCCCTTTCAGCTTTACTTTAATCACAAAGAGAAGTAAGCAATAAAGTGACAGACTCAATAGACAAAATTTGATAGATTTTTGGAAGAAAGTTTGTATCATGTTATAATCTCTGTACTTTTGGCTTCATTGGATTTCTGTGTATGTCCAACACATATGGCAGAAATTGGCGATAAAAAGCAAAAATAATACATCAGAGGGCTCCAATGTTATCACATAGTGGTAACAATTTGAAACTTTTTTTTTCCTGTATAAAATGGATGCCTTTATAAACCTGAGGTATAGCTGGAAAGGTAAATAAAGAGAGTAAAAAATAGGTTCATACTGTGGCTCTGAAGAGAGTGAAAGAAGTGGACAAAGGAGAGCTGGAGAAACAGAGGCATTTTTCACGACCAACTGCTCAGGTACACTATATCAGACAATGTGAAGAAGAGGGCTTGGCGACCCGTGTCCCCCACCTTTCAAATCCCATCTCCCTCAATGAAATCAGGTGTCAAAGTTTACAGAGGATGTAGTGAAAACAAGCCAAACTCGATCACGGCTGGAGCTGTCACAGCTGTTGAGGGAGACAATAAAATAACCTAATAAAACAGACAGAGCTGTCTGCAGCTCAGCACTGCTGTAGTACCGCAGAGTAGAAGCATTTCACAAGGATATTAGTGCAGGAGGTTTTCAAAACGCAGGGAATTTTAACGGCAGTGGTAAAAAGGAAATAAGGTGTGTTTACAATTGGGAAGTGTGATTTCATGTGACCTTTTTTTTTGTTGTGGCTGCCATCTTTGGGACTGTGGCACCATCAGCCAGCTTCAATAAAAATGCTCTAACCTTCTACTGACAAAAAGCAATGCTGTTTGATTAAATGAAAAAAAAAACATCAAGGTTTGTTTTCTCATAAACTTGTAAGTGAACTGCGGGCACCACTGACATCTGCAGGAACTTGCATCATATACATTTTTCCTCATTGTTGACCTCAGTCTCTTTCTTTATACTGCGGAGTAAGCTGGAAGGTAAGCTTCTGAGTGTTTTATTACAGTACCAACTAGTAAGGAGGTTAAACTAATGAATACAATGATTGTTTGTTAGATTGTCATGTAAACTGAATATTAGGTCATTTAATCCATTAAAGAGTTACATGTTGAACCATTAATTAAATCAAAAATTGAAAAAAAAAATCTGCTGTCATAATTAAAGGATATAAATGTACTTCTTTTATCAAGCATCTCAGTAAGTAATCAACGTGATTACTTAACAAAACTTTATAATAGTTTTTTCAAGATTTTAGGCATACCTCACAGTTGAGAGTGTTTCTTTTCTTTCTTTCCTTTTCTATCTCAACCATGATGAAAAAACAAAAAGTCTAAAGTGGCCTGGAGTCACAAAGTTCTTCTTTCTGTTGATCCTGACAGTATTGCTTGGAGTGATGCTAATTAAGAAAAGAAACTTCTACTCCTGGTTGCTATGTGAGCAACACACTGTATGAGCTCATTATGGGAAGGAAGAAGTAAAGGAATGTTTATGTGGCGGCACGAGCTATATATTATCAGTTTGGGTACCACCCGAACTTTGTTGTCCAACAACGCCACCTTGGGAGAGGGCCCAAGGACCCGTATCTAAAGGTCAATTACCTAGATATCTGAGGCACTCAGGTTCGTTCAACCAGGGAGGCAGGAGACGAGAGTCAATAATCAACGTACAAAATTTATTAATAAAAGGTCAACATAATTAATAAGATGCAAAATATGATAATGACAGAGCCCAACTAAAACAGGGATACAGGCTGAGGTGTACGGGCTAGAGGAAGGGTCAAAACTGGTGACGTCCAAAGAAAAGAAAACACCCCACTCACAGCAAACATAAGGTGCACACAAATAAATCTTCAAACGGGGAGTCAAATAAAACGCACACACTGAGGGATCACCACCACCTTGGAGGACCACCACCACCACCGTTGGCCGTCAGCTCTGTAGGGGGAAAAGAAACACAATTAGGGCAAGGGACTCATAAAGAAAACACACCAAAACATAACCAAATCAATAACTAATCTGTTCAAAATGAATCAGAAATCAAACAAAGGAAACAAATTACGACTCTCTGGCCAGAGATAAACTCAGAAAACCAAAAATTAATTCATTCAAAGCACTAACAAAAAGGATCTCCAACTAAAACATTACCCATTAAAGTATAATAAGTACGTTTCCAAAAAATAAACAAATCACTTAAACAAAACAAATAAAGAAAACAACCAAACCGAGAAATTACCCAAAAAGAACAAAAACGAAATGAATGAGCGACCTTCACAGAGTGCCTTTAAAAAGTCAAACACACATCCTCACACACAGTCCAAACCGGGGACTCGCAGTCGCGTCCACCCGGGTAACACACTCGCTCTGCACCCCGCACGGCTGCTAGGGGACGAAGTCAATAAAGGGGAATCGGTGCAAGGCAGCCGATCGCACCCCGAAGCAGGCCGGCAAACAGCGGAGGCGTTTAATAACGGCAGCAAAGCGGCAGCGATGCAACAGCAGCAGCACAGCGGCAGTATCCAGGTAGCCGGGGCTAACCAGCCATAATCGTACTTAGCTTTCAGGGTCTGCAAGGTCCGGTTCATCCGCCGGGAGTTTTAGTCCCGTCCAAGAGGGAGAGGGGTGAAGAAAGCCTGCACAGCAGGCGGAGACAGCCATGCGCTGCACGAGGAGACCGACAACTATGAGAGAAGGAGCGGAAAGGGGCTTAGCACCTGGCTAACAACAACAAACAAAAGGTAGCTCGCCATGACTCACCTAGGCTTGGATGACAGCGGTGAACGCGCCCGACAGTCTCGTCCCCAGACGCCAAATGCCAGATCTAGCAATCAACGACGATTTAGATTAAATAAAACCCAGACGAGGGTGCACAAATCACATGCCAATGTGAGCCTACCTGTGCTCCGAGGTGAGCAGTATGGGCGACGACCCGGAAGTGGGCGGGCCGAAGAGGCAGGAAGCGAGAGGTCAGGGGGAGGAACGCAGCCTACTTTTATATCCTCTGTCTGCACCGTGATTGGCTAAGAGCTTGGAAGAGGCAAACAGAGCTGAGCTTGAGGCCGTGGTGCCTCATACCACTACAATCCACCCCCCCGATTTTCATCGTCGGCCCGACGATGCTCTTGAAGAATCTCACCCTAAGACCACGGCCTAAAGAAAGCAGACACAGAGTTTAACTGCACGGCCGGAGGCCCAGCTTGGGCTGCCTCGTTGACCGGCCTAGGTAGATGATGAAGATTGGAATGGTGGCCAGCTGTAGATCGGACTGTCCTTCGTCTGACAACTCCATCACTCCCTGAAGGAGGGACCGGTAAGGGAGCAGCGCTGGCAGAAGGTGGCTGCACGGGCAAAGGGGCCGGAGGTACAGAGGGTAATGGTGCCGTACGTAGCACAGCAGTGTCACTACTCCCAAAAGAGGGGGCAGGCAAAGAGGCCAAAAGAGCCGAGGGCAACGGGACGGTCGGAATAACTGGTACCACTGAGGGAGGGGCCGGTTGAACTCCAGTCGCAGGACCAGCTGTAAGGCGGATGGGGTCCCTCACCACCTCCATCAAGTCCTCATCATCAGATGAGCTCGGAGACCTTGCACGCCGATCTAGGGGGACAGAAAACGGAATTAGGTTGTCGCCAGAGGCAGCCGTCCCGACTACAGCTTTGAGCAATGTTCGATGGACCTGCTTGACATTAGCCAGGTCGTCCTCGGGTGCAATTGTATACACCGCGCCATTGCCGGGGGGAGCTTTAATCACCTGATACACCATCGGATTCCACCTGTCTTGGATCTTGTGGCGGCCCTTCCAGCCGAACTCCTTTCGCCGAACTAACTGGCCTACAGCGAGTGGTTCTGACCGGACAGATTGGTCATGATTTTCCTTCCGACGTTGGGCTACCTCCCTCAACCTGTCCCGAATGCCCTCGAAAGCCAAGTGCAGCCGGGTTTGATGTTCCCAAACCCAGTCGCTTACAGTCCTATCAACAGGGTCCTGCACCCTTCCCAGCAAGAAATCAACCGGGAACCTTGCCTCACGACCGAACATGAGGAAGAATGGCGACTCCCCGGTGGAGTGATGCGGTGTGGTATTATAGGCATATAATACCTGAGGGATACAAGAGTGCCATTCACGTTTGCGAGAGGGAGGCAAAGTGCGCAACAAATCATGGAGGGTGCGATTGAAACGCTCGCACTGACCATTACCTGCAGGGTGGTATGGTGTGGTGCGAGATTTTTCAATGTTGTACAAACCACACAGCTGCTGGATGAGTACACTTTCGAAATTGCGACCCTGATCGGAATGAATGCGTGCTGGAATGCCAAACTTGGAAAACCACTCTGTGACAAGCACCTGTGCCACTGTAGAGGCACGCTGGTCACGGGTGGGAATAGCAAGAGTGTATTTACTGAAGACATCCGTCAGCACAAGGACATTCTCCAGCCCGTTATGGGTTGGTTCGAGGACAGTGAAATCCATCGCCAGGATCTCGTTAGGTTCCGAAGCAAGCAGATGTCCCATAAAGCTACGGACTGGTGGTCCAGGGTCCTTAGCCACTTGGCATCGCTCACAACTCTGACACCAGCGCCGCACATCTGCTGACATCCCCGACCAATAGCACCGCTGCCTAAGCAAATCCAGAGTCCTGCCCACCCCCTGGTGGCCATGATTTTGGTGCAGCTCGGTAAGGACTTTTTCCTTCAGCACCTCGGGCAGCAGCACCTGGAGAGCCACTTCTCCTCCGTCTGCACGAGAGACTTGCCGGTACACAACTCCAGCCTGCTCACTCAATCGCCCCCACTGCTTGAGGAGCACCAGAGCTGTGGGGGACAGCCGTCTACGTTCCGCTTGATTTGGATAACGTTTCTGCTGCCAGAACGAAAGGACTTCCTGGATCACCGGATCAGCTCTCTGCAGGTCTCCAATGTCTGCAGGCAGATGTTGAGGCAAAGCATGGACAGCAGCCTGACAGGCTGCAGGCCTTTTTGGTTGGAGAGCTTGCTTCAAGGGCTGGGGGAGCTGCGTACCAGAGATGATCGTGCCAAGATCTACCGGTTGAGGTGAATGCAAGCGGGACAGAGCATCTGCATTGATGTTACTCTTACCAGAGCGGTAACGAATTTCAAAGTCGAATGACGCGAGTTGGGCTACCCAACGCTGTTCAAGAGCACCAAGTTTAGCCGATGACAGGTGGCTAAGTGGATTATTGTCTGTGAAGACAATGCACTTGTGACCAAGCAAGTACTCACGGAATTTGTCAGCCATAGCCCACTTTAGTGCCAAAAACTCCAACTTCATGGAGCTGTAATTAGCGGGGTTCCGTTCGGTGGGCCTCAGACTTCGGCTAGCAAATGCTATAGGCCGGACCTTCCCTCCCTGCTCCTGCGAGAGCACAGCACCAAGGCCCCCATGGCTCGCATCCACTTCCAAAATGAAAGGAAGGGAGAAGTCAGCGTAGGCCAACACAGGTGCCGTAGTAAGCTTAGATTTTAAAGCTTCAAAGTTCCGCTGATGTTCACCCGTCCACTTTTCCGACACTTGCTGTCCAGACCGTCGGGGCTTTGACGCTCCGAGTTCCCCAACAAGGCGATGTAAAGGGGCAGCCAACTTGGCAAAGCCCTCCACGAAACGCCGATAGTAGCTTGCGAACCCAAGGAATGACCGCAGCTGCAAGATGGTGGTGGGAGGCTGCCAATTGGCTACCACTTCGACCTTACTCGGGTCGGTGGAAACTCCTTCAGCCGAAATGATGTGGCCCAAGTACAGCACTTGCTGTTGGAAGAACGAGCACTTTGACAACTTCGCTTTCAGACCTTCATATTGTAGCCACTGCAGCACCACTTCCAATCTCTGAAGATGTTGTTGAATTGTGGAGGAAAAGACCACGATGTCATCAAGATACAAGAGCAACGACTGACATTGCTGGTCTCCGAAAATCCATTGCATGAGTCGCTGGAAGGTGCTAGGTGCGTTACACAACCCGAACGGCATACGATTCCATTCAAAGAGTCCGAACGGAGTACAAAAAGCAGTCTTGGGTCGGTCGGCCTCTGCCACCGGGACCTGATTGTAGCCGCTGGCTAAATCCATGGTGGAAAACCAGCGGGCTCCAGTGAGTGCATCCAGCGATTCCTCAATTCGCGGGAGAGGGAACGCGTCCTTTCTCGTCCGGCTGTTCAGCTGTCGGTAGTCAACGCACAAGCGCAGACTTCCATCTTTCTTTTTAATCAATACAATTGGGGACGCAAAAGGGCTGCAGCTTTCTCGGATGACCTGCGCACCAAGCAACTGATTGATGTGTTCTTTCACCGTTTCGTATTCCGATGGCGGGATACGCCGGTAGCGCTGACGGATGGGACTGTCGTCAAGAAGCGGGATTTCATGTGTAATCAGGTCAGTGCAGCCTAAGTCACCATCGTGAGAGGAGAAGACAGACGCACATTTCCAGAGCAGAAGTCTGGCTTCCTGCTGCTCTTCAAGTGACAAAGCAGACAGATCAACTGCATCGATTTGATTTTGCAGCGTAGAAACCACAGCCTGAGATGCCACCGTGGCCATGTAGGATGGAACCTCCTTCACCCCAGAAGGTAGGCTCACCACGGAAACCTCACACAAAGCACCAACCGTTGTTCTGGGGTAAAGCAACACATCAGACGTACCCACGTTGACCACAGGTATGTACACAGTACCTCCCTCCACTTATACCAGTGCTGGGGATGCCAGCAGGCCAGCAGGAAGGCCCTGATCTGAGGGCTCGAACAGCACAGTTCTCCCCGAGTACTGGGCAGAACAGGTGGCTGGAACCAGCTGCATAGTGCCACCGGCGATACGACACGCTTTCTTTCCTTGCAGCTTGACCTTGCCACTAATGGCAGAAGGGGAGGTCAGAGAAGCTTGATGGCATCTCTGCAATGCCTGCACCACAGGCTTTGGTGCTTCAGCGACGGTGGGCAAGTTGAAAAGGGCAGCACCATGTTGCCCAAATAGGGTGCTGTAACACCTTTTCAGGATGTTCATCCCCAAGACACCCGGGGCAGGAGGAGACGCAGCAGTTGGGGGGTCCTTGACGACCAGCAGCCCACATCCTGGCAAAGTCCGACCACAGAGCTCGACTTCCAGCTCTAAGTAGCCAAGATATGGGATGGGTAACCCATTGGCGGCTTGAAGCTGGAGCCAATGGCAGGACTTAAGTTTTTCTTGGCCCCAAATTTCAAAGTGTTGCCGAAAAAAGCTCTCTCTAATAGTGGACACCATGGACCCGGTGTCTACGAGGCAAGGCACGGTTACACCCCCCATAACCACGTCCATATGTGGACAAGCACTGATCAACTTAGTCTCTTCCCCATCTATTACCATCTCTTCTGGTGAGCCGGTGGCAGCTCCCCCCGAACTTTGGCTCCGCAGTTCGACGGGCGCTAGTTTTCCGAACGCTGAGCCGGGTCCCGCCGAGAGGCTGGCCAGAAGGAAGCAGACCCTGAAGGTGGAGGAGGCGCACGCTCCCCTCTGCATTCCCTGGCAAAATGGCCAGGCTGATGACACCGCCGGCAAATCACCGGACCACGGTGAGAAGAATTGTTACGCTGCTGATTGGTCTGCAGCTGAGCGAGACTTTCGGTGAGACGGCTAAGCTGTTCCTGTTGGAGCCTCAGCATATGTTTCACCTCCTGCAACTCTGAAGCCTGGGGTGGACTAGCCACAAAAGGAGCAGTCTGAACACCGCACTGCAAGCCCATCAACGAAGGAACAGAGTGGCTTCGGCCCCGCACACCCCCTGGTAATCCCTCTCGCTCCCACCTAATGGCCTCTGCCCTAACATCTAACAGGGAGATGGTAGGCTGCCTGCGTGTGAGTTGCTTTAACTCTCGGCGAAGGGAACCGTCAATAACGTTTTCAATAAATTGATCACGCAACAAAACATCTGCATTTGGCATCTCGCTTGGAGCACTTTGTTTCACCGCTGACATCAAGCTCATCAGGGCGAGGGAAAACTCGTGAAGAGTCTCCCCTTCCTTCTGTCGCCTCGAGAAGAACGCCTCCTGTAGAGCAACATACGAATCAGCACAGCCATATAGTTCTCGCAAGACCGCAAGGATTTTAGCTGGATCACTTCGATCTGTGGCCGGACGATATTTTATTTCTTCACGCGCCTCTCCCTCTAGATGGTCAAAAAGAAAAAATGCTTGATCAGCGTTGGACAGGTGACGGGATCTAATGCAGGCCTGAGTTTCCTCGATCCACTCCTCTAGTCCTATACCTGACCTACCCCTAAACACAGGACCCTTCCTGTCTCTGGGCACGAGGATCAGTCGCTCTGTTACAGGAGCGACAGAAGAGGATGGTGCTGGACGAGGTTCAGCAGGAATGGATGGTGCAGCACTAGGACCAGGCACGGGTGCAGCCTGCTCCTGCTGTAACCTGTCATTTTCTGCCCGCAGCTGTGCCACCAAGTCTCTCAACTCTTGCAACTCTCCCTCCATTTCTGAAAGCTACACTAGGCTGTAAATGTTAACGCTACCAAAAAAAAAAAAAAACACTGTCTCTGCTGGCTCGCCTGAAGCTGCCGTTCATTCACATTCACACTCACACACACATTTGGCAATCTGAAAACCAAAAAAAACTAAAATGATTAAACATAGGACGCACGTCTCCACCTCCACTGAGTTGATCCTGCCGGCAACGCCAGGTTTGTGGCGGCACGAGCTATATATTATCAGTTTGGGTACCACCCGAACTTTGTTGTCCAACAACGCCACCTTGGGAGAGGGCCCAAGGACCCGTATCTAAAGGTCAATTACCTAGATATCTGAGGCACTCAGGTTCGTTCAACCAGGGAGGCAGGAGACGAGAGTCAATAATCAACGTACAAAATTTATTAATAAAAGGTCAACATAATTAATAAGATGCAAAATATGATAATGACAGAGCCCAACTAAAACAGGGATACAGGCTGAGGTGTACGGGCTAGAGGAGGGGTCAAAACTGGTGACGTCCAAAGAAAAGAGAACACCCCACTCACAGCAAACATAAGGTGCACACAAATAAATCTTCAAACGGGGAGTCAAATAAAACGCACACACTGAGGGATCACCACCACCTTGGAGGACCACCACCACCACCGTTGGCCGTCAGCTCTGTAGGGGGAAAAGAAACACAATTAGGGCAAGGGACTCATAAAGAAAATACACCAAAACATAACCAAATCAATAACTAATCTGTTCAAAATGAATCAGAAATCAAACAAAGGAAACAAATTACGACTCTCTGGCCAGAGATAAACTCAGAAAACCAAAAATTAATTCATTCAAAGCACTAACAAAAAGGATCTCCAACTAAAACATTACCCATTAAAGTATAATAAGTACGTTTCCAAAAAATAAACAAATCACTTAAACAAAACAAATAAAGAAAACAACCAAACCGAGAAATTACCCAAAAAGAACAAAAACGAAATGAATGAGCGACCTTCACAGAGTGCCTTTAAAAAGTCAAACACACATCCTCACACACAGTCCAAACCGGGGACTCGCAGTCGCGTCCACCCGGGTAACACACTCGCTCTGCACCCCGCACGGCTGCTAGGGGACGAAGTCAATAAAGGGGAATCGGCGCGAGGCAGCCGATCGCACCCCGAAGCAGGCCGGCAAACAGCGGAGGCGTTTAATAACGGCAGCAAAGCGGCAGCGATGCAACAGCAGCAGCACAGTGGCAGTATCCAGGTAGCCGGGGCTAACCAGCCATAATCGTGCTTAGCTTTCAGGGTCTGCAAGGTCCGGTTCATCCGCCGGGAGTTTTAGTCCCGTCCAAGAGGGAGAGGGGTGAAGAAAGCCTGCACAGCAGGCGGAGACAGCCACGCGCTGCACGAGGAGACCGACAACTATGAGAGAAGGAGCGGAAAGGGGCTTAGCACCTGGCTAACAACAACAAACAAAAGGTAGCTCGCCATGACTCACCTAGGCTTGGATGACAGCGGTGAACGCGCCCGACAGTCTCGTCCCCAGACGCCAAATGCCAGATCTAGCAATCAACGACGATTTAGATTAAATAAAACCCAGACGAGGGTGCACAAATCACATGCCAATGTGAGCCTACCTGTGCTCCGAGGTGAGCAGTATGGGCAACGACCCGGAAGTGGGCGGGCCGAAGAGGCAGGAAGCGAGAGGTCAGGGGGAGGAACGCAGCCTACTTTTATATCCTCTGTCTGCACCGTGATTGGCTAAGAGCTTGGAAGAGGCAAACAGAGCCGAGCTTGAGGCCGTGGTGCCTCATACCACTACATTTATTTGACACATTGTGGGAAAATGGATAAGTTTCCTAACAAAGCATTTGGTCACAAAGTTGCACCAAATCTTTTTGATTGCATTTTTTTTTTTGATAATGGAAGTCTGAGATCTAGTGAAGTGATCAGACACTGTAATGTCAAAATATACTCCTCCATACATAAATATGATCAACAGTGGTAGTTAAAATACTGGCCCAACAGGTCCAATAGGTGCTCAGTATAAGGTGAAGATGTTATTGTTAGATTTGATGGCACACATATCACAGTTTTTACTCTTTGAGCCATGAACTGACCTCTTGTGCTTCGTTAAAGCAGTATATTGTTATGAAGGTGATTCTATATATTTTGGGGGTCACAAACAGACACGCAAACGCACGCGCGCGCACACACACACACACACACACACACACATACATGCACACACACAAAACAAAACAAAAAAAAACATTGTACTTGTCATTTGTAAACCATCTCTCAGGACAAATGGAATCCAACCAAGCAGGCAGACTGTGCTCCAAAACAAAGACTAGCCACTGGGGTTAAGCATTCAGGTTTTACCTTTAATCTGTTTCCCATCTGTCAATGGTTCAGGCAAAATATTTTTGTCTTTTTGTCATTATTGTAATTTGCAAAATAATGTTGAGTCCTCACTTTATGGGGCTATGATAGGCACAATTATTATGTATGTCACAGCAGTGGATGTAAATGATCATAAGGTCTGACTTTATGTTTAAACATACAGCAATGTTTCAACAAAACAAGGATAAGGAAAATAACTGTCCTTTTTAAAACTTAGCAAAACTGTATGCATGACAGACCGTTCAAAAGCTTTAGAGCGCAAAGGATGTGTCAAATGTCAAATGTCTGTCTCATCTTTGCATACCAGAGAAAGAAATAAACTATTTAAAAACACCTACATTTATTGCACTTATCTCTGCGTTTGTGTGAAGCAGCTCTGTTGTGGGTTGGCCCATGACACTAAAACTAGTTTAATCTAAGACACCTGTACTTTGCTTGTATTGTGGACTGTCTGTCTCTCAATTCACTTCCATATTGTGTAACCTTTAACAGGTCTGTCTCGCCCAGCTGCTGAGTTTAGTTTGACGAAATCACATCCATATCCAGAGGCCGGCCCCTGCATTAGCTTCACTGCCTTCTACTCTTCAAGCAGAGCCATGTCTGCCACTGTTTCCTAGAAAATGAACCCCCATGAGAGCCAGCCTCTTACATTCACTGGAGATGGAGGATAGAACTGCAATTTGTAATCCTCTGTCATTTTTCTTTCTGATCATGTCCTCCTTCATCCTTCTTTCTTCAAAAGCAGCAAAAGTAATTTAAGCCACCTCTCACCTTTAAATGTATCATCATTTGATGTACTTTATTGCCTTTTGAATCAAATTACATTCATTTTAATTTCAATACCATAGTTATCATACCTTTGTGGAGTTTCTAGAAAAAATATCGTACTTCTTTTCATTACAAATGAGTCTTTAGGATACAAACTGGTCTCTCAATATGCTCAATCCTAACCCTCAGCAATAAATAGTGATGTCTTGGCTCTAGTACATTTATGTGTGATCCTCATAAAACAGAGACATAAAATTTGGTAACCACACCGATTCAACATATCTAGAGAGTCGCAACATTTCTCTCATATTAAAATCCAATGACATAATTTATGTGGTGAGCTGTCTGTAGGCAGCAGCTAATCCAGGCTAGTCCTTAACTGCCCTCCTTATGGGTTATAAGATCCTCAAATTAGTCCTGAGTGGAGCCATTAATTATGGGCAAAGATCAATTGTTGAACTGTTATTTTAGCCACTTGTCTGATTTCAGCAGTGAGAGAGGGTTTGAGCCAGTGAGGAGGCAGTGGATGACACCACAAGGCCATAACGAGTTGTGTCTTCCCCATTAATCAATGCCTTCCACACAATTTGCTGTCTGTGAATTGGGACTGACCCGTCTCAAGGGTCACTTGCCAATTTTCGGCTGGAGTCAGCTCGCATTGAGCTGAGCTTCTGTGCTTTAGACCCGGTGTTCCTTTTGAGTGATCCCATCTTTGAGATCATGGCTGCCGCATTTCTTTCTCTGTGAGATTGATATCATTCTCAAAAAAGGCACTGCAATTCAAGAACACTAGGAATGTGAATCTACTGTTACTTATGAGAGCCTGTTAGGCAAAGCATAATGGCAATTGCTCTTAATTGTTTTGATTAGGTCCTTTTTTTGCATGGTATATTTTCCCAAAATGCTCAAGGGTTTAATTCTTTTATTTCAAAGCATAAACTGGCACCTGTTAATCTCTATTAATAGATTCTACATTTAAAAAATAATGGAATAATAAAATAAATACGCGGGAGTCCAGATTTTCAGCATGGGAAGGGTTGTGTACTTTATGATTTCAGTATGTCTGTCGTCCATGAGGTATTGGCCAATCAGATTTTAGCTGATGTGCGCAGAAAAAAACAGTCCATGTGGAGAGCAAAGTAAGCAGAAGGAAATCCCAGCCCCCATCTGCAGTAATCTGAGAAGGATTTATTTGTTCTTATAAGCAGTTATCTTTATGCAAGTGCTGCTAACAAACTTGATCAACGTCAGACACAAATCTGTCAAATAGTCACCACAATGTTTAAATTTCTGTGACAACATGGAGATTCCTTAAGATGCTCACATTGTGTAAGCCCATCTGAAGACACCAGTGAAGAGTGATGTGTCTGTGTGTCTACTGTTGACCTGAGACTAACAATCATTGAATCAGACGAATGGATGCTATTCTAGAGGATGTTAATAAGCAATAAATTATTGTTTCAAGCTGCAGAGCCAAAAACAGAACAGACAGAAGGTCTTAGCTGCAAGTCCTTTTCATAACCAGCTACACCAGAATTATGGAAAAATTGGTATCAGTTCCCAGAGGCACATTACTTCCTGGTGTCAGACAGTGATAGATGATTGTTGGTGGGTGCCAAGATAAGGCAGCTTTAAAATGGATGAAATTGGCTTTAATATAACCCTTGAAGGCACCTGCACTGAACCAAGTATGCCTGCTATTGCTTGTTGTTAAGTGGCAGGTAGTAAGCAAAACATGCTGTTGATACCAAACAACAGATAAGTAGCAATGTTAAATTCATTTATTGTCCATTGTTCTTGTGTTATTATTTTGGAAAGGCCTTAAATATAATACCAGGTTTCCTTTTAACAACTCAGAAGTCTTTAAATGTCAGTCATTGCTTTCAGAGACCCACATTTCCTTGGATAGTGGTTATTAAAAGCTGGTTACATGGCTGTGTTAAGATGTGGTCAAACACAATATAAATTGTGTGGTGCCAAAGTGTTTCCAAGAGCAACCCTGCATTACATTGAATCAATCCATGGCAGTCTTGCATTTTACCTCTATTGGCACTTAATTTATTTGCAGAAATAACCTTCAGATTTGTGGTTGATGGCTGACACTGACAGAGAAAAGAAGAGGGGAGGAAAACACCCGGGACAGTGAGGGAGGTTTTAATACACAAGGAGCTGCAAAAAGACACTGTGAGAGACATGAAACAAACATAAAGATTAACCCAGCGTGGGCTTTGGCACTGTTGAAGGACTGGTTGATGCAAGAAAAAAAAATGTCAACAAACTCAAGCAGTGACAGGGCAGAAGTCTTTAATTACAGTAAGTGCCGCAAACCACTGTGCACTAGTTAAAAATGCCAACAGAAAAACATCAGTGTTTTGACTTTCCTGTGAATGGGAATGTTAAGCTTAATGTGACTTACAACAGAGAAGCAGGTAAAAGATTAGACTTCATCTTGAATGGAAATGTCCAGTTTAATGTCAAGTTGACCCACAATCAAGCCAACAAGAAATTACATTGTTCCTTTGTGGTTCCTTTGTTTCTGACTTGATAGGCCTGCATCACCTGGGTTTGGCCACTAATACTTGACTGGTATTGTTCAAAGGTGGTTTTAAGTGTTTACGTAGTTATCTGAGACAGCTCAGGCATTAAAACACTCAGAGAAAAAAAAACTTCACATATTGACAGTCATTTATAATGTAGGTGCAAAATAGGTGAAACTCAGGAGATCTGAGCTTATTGAAAAGTGCTTTTGGCCAGGATAGCAGAATAACTTGGCAGTGTAGGGTGAGGAAGAAGTGGGCAACTAAATCACTACACGAACCAGCCCGGGGGAGCAGTGGAGCAGTTCAAGACTAGAAACAGCTGGTACATCATCAGGTCTGAAAAAAATTTTCAAGTCCATGTTTGCTCAAACTGAATTCTGAGGCACCTGCTGAGCTGCTTGCTACCTGGTATTTTGCACATTGATTATTAGCTGGTTAAGAAGTTCAGGTAGTTCACAGTTTTACTCCAACCAAGCAGGCAGTGGTTTAACAGAAAAAGTAGGAATCAATTCATTTATTTAAAAAGAATGAAACACTTCACCTTCCGCTTCAGGATTTGATGCGATATTAAATGGTGCATTTTGGAACTCGCAGATCAACAGGGGGATTTTTTTTACAAGCTGCGGTTGTGGAAACTGAAGAGGAGCTTTTATTTCAGTTACAAGGCCAACCAAATCACAGAAAAACAGTGTAAGGTCCACATCAGCTGCAGCCTGTTGCATCTTTGTGTTGCAGTAACCTGTGAGTTTGAGAAGACACAAAATTGCTCACAAATTTTCAATTTCCAGCCTTTTCTTTTTTTACTGAATCGCTTTGAACTGTCAGTAAAAATACAGAAAGAGATTGCAACATGTTGATTATAATTGCTTTGAATGGCAGTGTGCATGTTGTGAGTAATGATTCACAATCCTTTAATTTGATGTCATGCGTAATTGAAACGAGATGCTCAAGAGCTGGAGGGGTATTTAATTAAAAACCCTTCCCCAAAACA